AATTACTGAAAGTTTTCTTCGTAAGGTGAAGAAGAACTAAGATTTCCATTTCCTTATTTCTAGTCAACACTGTACTGGGTGATCCTACACAGGACAGTATGAAAATATAAAGGTGTAAGAAATTTAATTTTTTTAAATTGTAATTGAAAATAATTTAGTGTAGCTATCATGAAAACTTAAAGTAACCTGTACACAAATTATAAAAAATAATTATTTAGGTATTGACCACAAGATCAACATAAAAATACTTTCCCAGAAAAATGGAATACCTATTAGGAAAAAGGAATGCAAGGAACAGAAACACTTTAAAAATACTTTTCAGTAGCCACAGAAAATATGCTAATCCTATGTAAATAAAATTGTTAAATTCTTGAAATGCATTAAAGAAAAGATAACTGGTTAGATACAATGTTTATGGATGGAACTTTGAAATCCAGTCGACATTCTAACCAGTGTTTCCTTTTGAAACTTACGTTCCACAATTTATAAAGAAAAGAATAGCTAAGAGGTTCTTGAAGAACAACAAAAAGGAAATATGAAGAACTTTAAAACTCAAATAAACTAAACTAATTATTTTTTCAGAGATGGACAAACAGAATGCTGAAACAGTAGATATTCTCAAACAAGAGCCATCATTGCATGGAAATACCATTTATAACAGAGCCAAGTATAACCTTTTCAACATACAATGTTGAAATGACCCATGTGTGTTTGACCCCAGCCTCCAGTTGGTACACAGAAAGTAAAAGTAAAACTTTAAAAAACAATATTGGAGAACATCATGACCTCAGTATAAGAAAGGACCACTTCCGGTAAGACCTAGAAAGCATAAACCCTACATGAGAAAGATTATTAATCCGCCTATATTAAACTGCAAAGGATACATTCTTATTCATCCAAAGATGCTAAACAGAATGAAAAGACAAACTGCGAGATGAAAGAATTATCAATATACAAAACTGCAGAATATGTTTCAGCATGTGTATTTTCCAAATCGTACCAAAACAAATTTTAAAATAATTAAAATAGATAATTTTACTGAAGAAAATCCCAAATGGCTTACAAATGAAAAGACACTTCACTCCACCGCTCATTAGGGAAATGGAATTTTGAAAGATGATAGCAATGAATTTCACACCCACTTCATACTTACTATTATCAAAGGTTAGCAAGAAAGTAGAACGACTATAACTTGATGCACGCCAGTGAGAAAGTCAAGTGAAGTAACAGTTTCAGAAAAGCTGTTTGGCATTACCTAGTGATGCTCTGGGTTTTCCCGTCCTCAAAGTAGCAGTTCCACTGAGCTCTGTGTGTCTCAAAGAGACTTTGCATAAGTAGGAGCCAGGAGCTAGAATGTGCATATATGTACACTACTTGCAGAAACAAAAACCTGAAACCAACTCAGACGTCCAACAGAGAAATCAATGAAGCACCAGTGCCAATATAACACCAGGGAAACTGAATGTATTAGAGCTGTGTGTCAGGAGGGTGAATCTCAAGGGCATAATGTAAAGGGGGAAATAAGCAAGTTCTTCTTTTTTTAAGTGAGTGGAATTACTCTGTGCTGAAAATTTAAAAACATGCAATCATGAACAACATACAGTAAGGTGAGCTCAGGATCCTACACAGCAAAGAATTTCTCTTTTTCTTAAAGATGGTGGGTACACAACACAGCAGGCACTGTCGCTTTTATACCAGAATTACATTCTTTGGCATCTACCCATGGAATTTAATGATCTAATCTAGAGCTACATTTTTCATCAGAAGGCCTGCCCGCAGTTGGCCAGGTTAGAACAGCAGCTGTCTCAATGAACAGCATCTGCACGACCGCTCCTGCAGTCAAGCCTGGGCCATTTGGCCACCCCCACTGTGCTGGCATGGCCATTTTCCTGCCAGCTTTCTTCGGCTCACGTAGTCTCCTTCCTTTGGGCACCTGAGTTTCTGACCCCTGGACTAGAGCAGCTCTTCTCTAAGTGTGGCCCCTGTGACCAAGTTACAGAGGCAGAGGTGTGGAGCCTGAATCAGACACACTTGGCAGGGGCCCAGAAGTTGTGCTCTTGCTGTCCAGGCAATTCTGAAGCTCACATTTGAAAATTATTCTTCTTAAGGACCTGGCCTAGCTGGTGGACTTCCTTCCTGGTCCGTCCTGCCTTCCTTCTTTTCGGTACCTTTTCATCCAGGCTCCTCCTCCTATGGTAGAGTTGCACTTTCTCATTTATTTCCACCAGCTAGGGGGACCCCTAGTCCGCTCGCTCAGGAGGAAACTTTATCCATTCAGGTGAAGCAGTTGTAGCAAGGTCCTAAATTTATGGTCAGAAACCCAATGGGCTTCACTGCAGTGCCCTGCTGGCGCTCTGCAGCTCCCAAGAGCTCTCAGAGATGGCTTTTTTCTCAGTGGATTAGCAGTGGACCCAAAGGGCAGCAAGCCTGCTTCAACATCAAATGGCGTTTAGAATGACTATGAAACACACAACCTGCTACCCTTTTGTCTCTGCTTTAAGGAAATGTTCATGCCCTACTGCTGGTGGCCTTTCACAGCAGGTTAGTTTAAGAGTAGCCCCCCTTTCTCAGTGCCCTGGTCTTTCCATTGCTGAGAGGAGAGAAAGGGCCACAATTATTTCTGAGTCCATTTTGCTGGCCCCAGCCCACTCCTAGTGATCTCACAGACCTCATGCAGTCTGCAAGAATAAGGTGAACTCTAATGCCTGCCTGAAATAACCACATTGCCTCTGAGGAAATTCAGCTGCATGCATGGTCCCCACTTCAATCTCTCGCGCTCTCTCCAACTGGCTGATTATACTGAATCATTCACTTGGGAGGCCATGTACCAAGGATGAACTGATTCAACAGATCGTAATTTTGTTATCGGCAATGTACCCCGAACACGGGCTACAACATGACGTATGTGTCACTCAGCCACGCTTAGGACTTTCACCTTCTTGTCATTTACATGGAGGAGGATGGGAAATACGAGCACTGATGTATGAGGAAGGAAGAAGCATTTAATTTCAGAGAACAGAATAAATATGTGGGTTAGAAAAAGTACAGTTTTTCTGTGAAGTGATGCGGTAAACAGTATCCTGGCTCCTGAGAAAGGGGGTTAGAACCTGGCTCTGCCATTACTGTAAGTATGACCCTTCTCTGAACAATCTCTTACCCTTAGTTTCCTTGTTTGTACTGCTAATACCATAGAACACTGGGTTGATAGGTTTGTAAAATTAAATAAGTAAGATTACCTATATGAAGACTCTTGCACAATGTCACTACCTAGTAAACCATCATTAAAATATCCTTGATGTTTAGAGCAAGAACTAAGACCAGCACAGTAAGTCAGAGCTAATTCTACCTGGCTAGACAAGCTCAGGAGCTCAGATCTCTCCTGAGGAGCCTGGAAAGTTTTGATGTGAAAGACAAAATTTTCAACACTTACTTCAGGGAGATATATTTTTATAGGATGCAGAGTGGGAAAAAGTAAAATATTTACGACCACCACCAGCAGAGCTAAGAGCCAACCTGCAATATGGGAAAAAAACTTTAGCAGCTGCTCCTCAGACAAAGGACTACTATCTAGAATATATAAGGAACTAAAAAAATCAGGCCCCCCCAAATATAAAGACCCAATTCAAAAATGGGCATTTGAAGTGAACAGACATTTCTCAGACAAAGAAGCAAAAGCAGCAAATCAGTATATGAAAAGATGTTCCACATCACTGGTCATTCAAGAGATGCAGATGAAAACAACACTGAGATGGGTAAACAAACCCTGACTGCCAGCGCTTCAGCCACCCAGAGACTCTGGGGCCACCGGAGACCTCAGGGTGAGGTGGGTGCATGGGGACTCGAAGACTCGGAGCCCCAGGGTCTTGCTAAGTTGCCCTGGCTGGTCTTGAACTTGTGATCCTTCTGCTTCAGCCTTTCAGCATGCTTGAATCACAGAATGGCTTCATCATCATCTCAAAAGAAAGTAGCACCCAAAAAAAGAAAAATGGAAGAAGGAAGAGTCTTCAGTGAAAGATGGATGAGTGCTTTTGTATTGAGAGAAATAAGGCGCCCTGCTTAATTTTTCTAAATCAGTTTATCTCACCAGAGTAGAGCCAGATGAAATGAGGAAATGGGGAAAATTCTACTGCAAAGGATTTAAGAGTGAAGCTGCTAATTTCAAACTTTATTCTTTGGCAACAGATGAAAGTGCTAATGTGACAGATATGGTTCAACTTGCTGTTTTTAATTAGCAGTATTATAGATTATGAATATAGTATCACCGAAGAAATGATTTCTTTGATACCATTAATATACAGCTAAGGGCTGGGGATTTAGCTCAGGGGTGCTGTCGCCTGCCTCCTAAGCACAAGCTCCCAAGCTCAATCCCCAGTGCCAAAAACAGAAACATCAGCTAAATCGCTTCATTTGTATGACGCAGTAAAATTAAGTGACTTTCTTCAAACTTTGTTAACATATCTGGTGTAGCCACAGTGGTACTCTGTGATGGTTGTTAAAGAAGAGGGATTTAAATGGGTTGTGGTGGCGCATGCCTATGATCCCAGCACCCAGGAGGCTGAGGCAGGAGGATCAGTGCAAGTTTGAAGCTACCCTGGGCTACATAATGAATTCAAGGCCAGCCTGAACTACAGAGTAAAACCTTGTCTCAAATGGGGGGGGGGTATTTATAAATTAATAAGAGATGATGCAGTTGTTTCTGGCAAGTTACATTTAACAGAATACTGCTGCATCATATATCAAGGAAATTCAAGCTTTAAAAATGGATGTTATGGGAGCTAGGCGTGGTGCACGCCTGTAATCCCAGTAGTCAGGAGGCTGAGGCAGAAGAATCCCCATGAGTTCAAATAGTGAGTTCAAGACTAGCCTGAACTATGTAGGGAGATCCTGTCTCAAAAAAACAACAGAAAGATGTTATGCAAATCATCATCAAAGCTGTGAATTTCATGAGGTCCTAGGGCTCGAATCACCAATTCCACAAGTTCCTTAAAAGTAAGGATGCTTTGCTCGCTTTGACAGCACATATACTAAAACTGGAATGGTACAGAGATTGGCATGGCCCCTGCGCAAGGATGACATGCAAACTCGTGAAGTGTTCCATATTTATTTTTTGCACTTAATCAGGAATCTTGTTCTGTGATCGCACTAATGAGTAAACAATAAATGTTTTGAAATGTTAAAAGAAAGAAAACAACACTGAGATTCCACCTCACCCCACAAAGAATGGCTGCTGTCAAGAAATCAACCAATAACAAATGCTGGTCGGGCTGTGGGGAGAGAAGAACCCTTCTCCATTGTTGGTGGGAGTGCAGACTGGTGCAACCACTATGGAAATCAATATGGAGATAAGGAACTAGGATTAGAGGTTGCATTTGACCCAGCCATCCCTCTGCTGGGTATCTTTCCAAAAGAATTAAAAGAATCCTACCACAGTGATATATGCACATCCATGTTTATAGCAGCACAGCCTGTAATAGCTAAAACTTGGAAACAGCCCAATCAGTTGGAGACTGGATAAAGATGTGGTTTTCTATAAAATGGAATACCACTCAGCCACAATGAATGAGAAACTAGAGTCATTCATAGGAAAATGGATGCATACTGAGGCCATACTCTATAAGTGAAATAAATAAGACACACGTGTATAAATACTGAAGAGTTTCTCTGGTGTGAGAAATTAAGTGTAAATAAGAGCCATATGGTATAACTGACAATGTGAAATAGGAAGAAAAGGGTAAAGGTGTAGGGAAAGTGGGAAGGGTACGGAAAAGGTAATAAGGGAAAAGAAAAAAATGAGAAAATGAAAAAATGGAAATAAAGTGTTTGTAAGTGGGGAGGCAGGAGGGGGTGAAGGGAGGGAAGGGGATGTAGAATAAATGAGAACCAAGACCTGTCATGTAAAGGTACAAGACCCCAGTAATGAACATAACTGTACCGTATTCTTTTGAGAGTGAACTTATGAGAAAGGTACAGCAACTCGGGTTACAGGTGGGCTTGTCTGTTGAGAAGAGAAAACTCAAGTTAAAACCTGAATTAAGGGGAAAGGAAAGGAAAAAAGGGACAAGAAAAAATGTGAAAAAAGGAAAAATGTAAATAGGGACGGGTGAAGGGAAGGCAGGGAAATGGGGAACAAGCAAGAACCAAGATCTACCATGTCAAGGTACAAGGCCCCAAAGATAAATGAAACTGTATTGTTTGCTTTAAATGTACCAATAAGTGTAATGGGGGGAAAAAGCTGAATTAACTGATAAACTGAGGCAGGGAGGAAGGAAGGAAGGATGGCGTGAGGGAACTGCAGCCCGGGAGCAGGGAACACGGCCGTGCCATTGAGAAGCCGGGCAGGCAGCATCGGATGGGCAGGAAAGAAAGCTGTGAGGGGAAAGGGATCCACAGTGCTGGAAACAAAACAGTAGAAAACTGATGATAAACTACGTCAGGCAGCTGGAATGAACGGGAGAGAAACAAACGGCACAGGCTCTCTTCATGTTTCAAAAGCGAGGAGGCCAGGAATACAGCAAATACTCATCTGCATGGGGTCAAGGTCTAGGCGAGGACGCACTGCACAGGCAACCTTCCTGTTGCCCTGGAAACGGTTCTCCTTCCTTCCTCGCTGCACTGACATCTCCTCCTCGGGAGAAAACTACATGCTGATGAAGTAACCACAGTAATAGGCAGTCACCACGCCAGCTCAGGCAGCTTGGGCGAACGAAGGTCTTGCGAGAAGGACAGAGAGGATATGGGCATTTGTGCTGCACACGCGAGAGTCGAGTCGAGAAGGCTGAGCTGGGAGAAGTGCAACAGGCCTGCTGCTTCCCTTTTAAATCCGGCTTACTCATAGTGGAGGAGAAATCCAGGGACACAGCTGCTGCCTGGAAGCAGTCGTTCAGATTCCGGGCCGGAAAGTATTGAGGAGCCTTGTTGGCCTCAATGAATGTGGCCCAGGATTGTTTAGCAGTGGCGTCTCCCTGGCCAGCTTGCTCATGGGGCCACTTGCTGTGACCCAAGATGGTGCGGCCTGCACGCATGGAGTGGTGGAAACCGTCTGGGGTCTGGGCAGTGGGAAGTGTGGGTGACATTGCTTTTTAACGTGTTCAGAGTGTCCTGAAGTTAGAAAAGGCAAGTCAGGAAATCGGTCTGAATCAAAGCAGGTTGAATGCCACCTTTGACACCTTGGCTTCCCAAATGGGGACGTTTTCTTTGCAACAGAGAAGAGAATCCTCACATATTCCTCTCCAAAAATATTTTTAAGACCCAGACTATTAGGGGATTCTTGAATTTTGGTAATGATTTTCTCATTAGAGTGAGTTAGGGGGGAAAAAACTTTCCAAGGAGTGGTTCCTCCTTTTTGCCATCATAATTAGCATATGCCATTGGCTGGTTACACTTCTCTCGAGATATTTATCTTACGTACAATAACATCTGCTCATTTGTGAGTTTCTGCAAATAGAGAGATGTGCAGTAACCACTGCCATCACCGCCCAACACATCCCCTTTGCTCGCTGTCCCTCAGCAGTCCAGCTACTGCCCTGCCCCAGGCCCTGGCCACACTTGTGTGTTCTAAATCTTCTTTTGAAAAGCTTCACTGTGAAGTAAATCCCAAGACTCCTTTATGATTTGCTAACACAAGAATAATAGTAACCCCAGTACAGGTCCAGCGTCTCTAACCTGAAAACCCAAAACGTTTTGCAAAACTTGTTGAGTGCTAATAGGAGGCTTAGAAAATTTCAGATGTTGGAGCACTCTGGAGCTTCAGATCAAGGGTGTTCAACGAGTAAAGCTTATGCAAACATTCCAAAATCTGAAAAATATCCGAAACACTTCTGCTTCAACATGTAATATTTAATACATAGTTGCATTCCCTGCATGTCAGGGACCATTTGAAGCTCTTTGTAGATGGGGAAAACTGAGGCTTGGAGAAATTTCAGAAAGAACAGGAGAGGAGAGGGAAGACAGACTTGCTCAGGTTTATACAGTGAGCACCTCATGGCTTGATTCCAAGTGCCTCTCATCTCTAGGTCTACTCCTGTAATTCCAGTGCAATTCTACCTCCATGGAAGACTTAAGTAGAAAGAATACCAATTCTCCAATACCCATTTCGGGAAGCTCAGCTTAGACCTAAGACTGTCCTACTCTTTAAAAAAAATGTATATGTCAGAGTTTGGTTAATTATAGCAACAAAGGAAATGAAGCAGTAATCAGCAGACTGTAAGATAAAATGAAGCCATGGTCCTAGAACACCTTCCTTTTGACCTCTAAGGAAGCGATGAAGATCAAACCTAGAGCTCTTATCCTCTGTCGTGAACCCGACCAGAATGGCAGAACCAAAACTAGACAAATGCCCTGATCAAATACTGAAATGCTGTTTCAATGCCATGAACATCAACTTTCTCTTAAATTTACAAAAAAAAAAAAATGAATAGGATCTTTAGTATCTGGCTTACATTTATTTCAGATTGGAGTCCCCCACCCGGTCTCTGGTGATGGAGGCCCCAAAGGGAGTAGAAATAAATGCAGAAGCCGGGAACATGGAAGCCACCTGCAGAACTGAGTTGAGACTGGAATCCAAAGATGGAGAGGTAAGGAGGAGCAGGAGGGGAGACAGAATCCAAAGAGGTATGGGCCAGTCTTGTCCAAAGCTGATTTGCCATTAATATTGATCCCATACTGTATGAATCCAAAAAGCCACTCAGAAGATTTTATTTTCTGGAACAAGTAGTTTAAAAGCACAATTATAAACCAAAGCCATATTACCTAAAAATTATGATTCATCATTTGTAAAATGCTAGTGTGATGGCATCTATTGCAAGGACAGAACTATCCGACCATAAAAAATGAATGCTATTTGCAAATTCTGTCTCTTCCTGCCTTCAAGTAAGATTGAGTTAACCAGGATAATTAAGCTGCATTTCACACCCATCTGGCTAAACATGAACTTAATTTACTTGTAGTTCTTTTATGTCAGATGTTGCAATTTTCACTGATAATGGAGAGTCACATTCCACAGCAATCCCAACCTAGAATAAGCAAAAAAGTCAATATGGGTAAAACTAGGCAATCAAAGAATGAAGGATGGCAGATACTGATTCTCTTCCCTCACTACAGTCCCAACCAGATGAATGGAAAGGCTGCTTGTGTTTTTGCAAGCAGGGTAAGGTAAATGCCCATTCCAAAACTCATAATTTGACTAACTTCTTTAAATGCCGTCAAAGTATAAGTGAATTTTTTAATCTCTGCTATGTGGAAGGTATTATTCTCCACTTGCTGCTGTATATCGACTCTGAGTATTTCAAATTCTTTCCTTTGATTTCTTTGATATTGGCTGCTTTTGTTTAAAAGTTAGTGTATTCAGATATCACAACTGCTTGCTCAAATAGGCACACACCGCATGTATAACAATATAGAAACTGCCTCCGATATTCAGTTCATAGATACCAGATTCTAAATGCTGGAAGAATCAGTTGTACTCATAAATCTAATGGCAACTTCCAGCACTGCTTATTTTTTATACTCATGTATTTTTTAGTCTATCCAATGCAATATCAGCACCACAAGGTGTTACTAAAGGAAGGAAAGGTCACCGATCATTTCATTTTAAACTTGGAGAATACTTTCTTCTTGAAGATCCACCTTGTGTGTAGATAGAGGTAGGCTCTGAGAAACCCCATAGTAATAAAAAACTGTTAAATGCAGCATTTCCATATTTATTTCACTCTAGGACACTATTTGCATTCTGTATGTCATACTTCTGCAAAATGTTAATAGCAATCAATGAGGCGTTATTTTGCTAGAATATTAGCTTCTGGGAGGACAGAGACTTTGTCTTATTTATCTCCAAATTCCCAGTGCTGCTGTGGCTCAATCCAGAGGAGGTGTTCTGGGTTTTTAATTGAACTGCACTTTCATCCACTGTTTCTTAATGTCAAGAGCACAGACGGCAGCCCCTGACTGACTTCTTTTCCACCTGTCCCCTCTCTTTAGATTAAGTTAGATGCTGCGAAAATCAAACTACCTAGACTGCCTCACGGATCCTACACACCTACAGGGACAAGGCAGAAGGTCTTCGAGATCTGCGTCTGCGCCAATGGGAGATTGTTCCTGTCCCAGGCAGGAACCGGTTCCACCTGTCAGATAAACACAAGTGTCTGCCTTTGAGAGACTCTCCAGAGTGGACATTGTCAGCAGCCTGAAGGCCTTTTTTCTTGGCTTTAGACTTTGGCTGCCAGCTATTTTTACTAGAACACAGAAAGCCTATCAAAGACCTTTTATGTGTGTGTGTATACGCGTGAGTGTGTTTGCGTGTGTGAGTGGATATAAATATATAT